TTATAAGGCGCACTGTCGGCTTTTGAGGAAATTGAAGGTTTTTAGGTGCGTCTTATAGTGCGGAAAATACGGTAATAAATTTAATATATCCTATTCAGTTGAGACTTATATTTTTGAACAAACATGAGTGAAAAACTACATTTCTGTCAGTGTTAAAACCACAAATATACCGGAAAACGCCACTTACTGTATGTCTGTCCCACGACTTCTTAAATGCAGAAATTTCATGCAAAATCTGGTAGTATGAAGACTCCAGCAACACAAAGTGCTAAGAAATCAACTTTCTTTATAAATGCCGTCTTCTCAGGACTTAAACACTTAAACAGTGCAGAACTCAAGCAATCTCAGGTTTTGTGGGATGTTTAAAGTTGAATGGAAAAATAAGAGTAGGACATCTAAATTCACAGAACGCTTCAAATGAATAGAGTCAAAATTACAAACCATAACTTAAGCGAATTTAAATTACGCACCACTTGTTGAAGCTGCCGGGTAAGCTTATTGTGCTGCCGTTTAAAAGCTTTGGACTGTCTATCCAAGGTGTCCAAATCCAAATACCCCTCTTCTTCCTCCTAGGAGAGAATAGGAATAAATAGTAAACACACTGCTAAACTGGTAAAATATATATATATATTTTATTTAAAGGAAGTAAGCTTCTTACCTGTTCAAATTTCTGTCCTTGTTTCTTTTTGTTCTCCCTCTCTCTGTTACAAATAAGACGAAGAAAAAAATAAACTCATGCTGCTGGTGTCAAACATGTTCACATTAGGGATGATAATATGAACAGGCATGGAAGAAACAATGTACACCCACTTACAGTCCTCGGGTTTCCTGCATAAGGACATAATAAAAGTGATCTGGTCTTTAGCTGCTTCTAAAAATCTTAAAAACAGGCCTGACCATTGGCAGGCCTGTTTTTCGGGCTGTGCGTTTCGGGCCGTTATGCTAGAAACCCAGCCATAAACCATCTTCAGTCTTCCTACTGTTAGGCAGACATGTTGAAGTCTAACTGATTCAGAGTGTGGCCAAGTGTCTTTTATACATGCAAGGAGTTCAAACAGGTGCAACTCATACAAGTAATGAGTGGAGGATGGGACGGGTTCTTAAAAGCTAGAATCATTTTTGATATAAAAATCAAACAACGTGAGTTTCTGGATTTTTTTAAAGACGCCGTCTCTCACAGTTGAGGTGTAACTATGATAGCAACTGCAGACCTCTCCATTCTTTGAAAGTGGAGAAACTTGATAAACCTGTTGCATATCAAATATTTATTTTCCCCACTGAAAACTCTGGGATTTTGCAGCATAATGCTCAAACTATATTTACTGACTGTTGTTTGTAGGTCTTCCGGTACGACGGCTGATCATCATCGGAGTCCTCAGGCTCTTCTTCTACCTTGCAGCTCCTACTCGGTAAAACATACAGAGAGTGTTTAGATTAGACTTTAAGCTTATAAAGATAATTGATGACACTCGTTATGCAACAATGTTGAATTTAATTTTCCCATAAATGTAACCTGACAACAAATGGTGTTAGAGAATAGTTTCAAACAGGCAGGTGTTACCGATCGGCTATCATTCTTGACCAGCCTCTATGTCTTTGTTGCCAAATTATCCTAAGTGAATGCTGCTGCCAACTCTGTATCTTAGCACAGGAAAAACCTTGAGTATTTTCATCAGGAGTGCGTGATTATAGTAGTAAATAGGAAAACAAACACAGAAGAGTTTAGATTATGTAGTTTATTCCTACGTTTTCATTTAAAATGGTCCTAATAAGCTCTGTTACCTGAACTGTGGATCGGGGTTCAACAGGCAGTACCACTTATCCGGCAGCTTGTTGACGTCGATCCCGTCCGGGAGTTTACGCCACCGCAAACAGTCGTCGCACTGCACCCAGTTCTGATCCGGTCGCTTCCTACAGAGTCACCCCGGTTAAACTAATACAAATTACAATATTTCACGTCTCTCTCTTGTCTGGGTACCAACATGGTATCTTCCACTGGCACAGTGCTGTTTGGGTCTTCTTTGGTCTTTCTGAAACGGATCTCGTTCCAGTACTCCTCCAGTTTAGTCCCCAAACTGTTAATGGTTTTTCTGTTCAAATCCAAAACAATAAAGCCACGTATTTTTGAGAATTCAAGAATACCAAGTAAATTGGTAACAGTTTATGATAGTCCTGAGTGGATCACTGACGTCACTACCTGTACTTGTCAGTCTCGTTGAAGCTCTGCTTGTTGTGGGTAGGATCCAGAAAGTTACATTCGATGACCCCAATGACTCCAACACCTTTCATGTTGGCCTGTTGAACGAAAGGATTTAGAAGATTCAAACATTGTTTAACCCACATATTTACATACGCTGCGTAAACAGACACATGGCTTTCTTTTTTTTTACTTATTGTCTGACAATAAAATAGATTTATTTGTTTTAATCACTGCTAGAAAATGTTTTTAACTTCAAATGCAGATGTTTGCCTTTGAACTGTGACTTGGATCTGATGTTTTGGATTTCCTGTCAAAAGCAACGATAACTTTCTGGAGTTTTGGCCCATTCCTCTTGACAGAACTGCTGTTAGTGAGTCAGGCTTGTAGGTCATTTCCCTTGGACAAGCCTCATCAGATCTACTTCTATAGGACTGAGATCAAGGCATTGTGATGCCCATCCCTAAACATTTGACTTTGTTGTCCTTCAGACTTAAGATCATCGCCCATTTGTAAGACCTTGAATCCATGTTTTTATAAATTTTAGTTTCATCAGACCATATGACAGATCTCCAAAATTAAACCTCTTTGGTTGTTAGCATAGGCATTAAAGCAAGTTCTTCTCTGCTCATAGAAACTCACAATCTTCCTGAATAATAAGATGGATGATCATTCCCATGGTGGTTTTTACTTGCATAAATTGTTCAAACACTTTTAAACTTATGGAAAATAGAGCAACCAGTTTTATGGAGGTCCTTATAACTTCTCATTTGATCACACAGCATCATAGGGCAGTTACATGCCAAGAGTCTTTAAAAGTCTGTCACTTTTTCTTGGAAACTGGCAAATAAAACATTTTTTTAATCCTGACTGACCTAAACAAAGAAAAGTTCAGTTTTGGTTTTCAATGAAAAGAAGGTCATAAACAAAACCCACCTTAAGCTGGCAGCCCACACGTTCATACGCTTTGATGAGCCTGTTCTTGTGATACATCATGATACCATACTGGTCTTTACTTTTGGTGTTATACCCAAAAATAATAGGTATGCGTTTGTCCTAGAGTGACAAGGAGAAAAAAAAAAAAAAAACTAAATTCAGGAACCATAAGAAAAAAATAACACTTCTAAACTCCTGTCAAATCTCAACTAAAGAAATACCAGAAAAGTGGGCTTGTAGTGGTCCTTTCTGATGTAGGCCAGGCTCTTAGCGATGAGCTGAGACTTCACCTTTTGACCCCGCACCATGACCTGCATGCGTGGCTTCAGGTATAAAATGCTACAGTACTCCTACAACACAGGGACACAAAATGAATCAAGGTTTAACATCAAAGAGGTAATTACCAGGACAAAACGAAAGAAACAGCAAGAAGCCTGTGGTGAACACGAATCACTTGGGTAAGTCGTTTATATGAATGAAGTTGACGTTTTAGATTGAGAAGGCAAACGAATTAGTGTAAAAAAAAAAAAAAGCATTTCATGAAAATAAATTGATGCCCTGCCCTTTACCGCTTCTTACCCGCAGTGAAATCACACTCTCAGGAACATAAGATGTACTCCTGTTCAAAGGCCGAGATGGATCGCTTAATTCTTCGTAAACTTCTGAGGGAATGCGGATGTCATATCGATCTCTGTCAAAGTCAAACTCTGTTGATCCGGAAGATGTCCTAAAATTAAGACAATGATGAAATGAATGAAAACAGTTACTCATTACAAATAAGATACAGGCAATACAAGAGCTGAGCTCAAGTGAAACAATACACAACCCCCTCTTCACTGACGTACTGCTCTTCTGTCTTCTGTTCAGTGACGGTCACTAAGTGAAACTGTGGCTTCATTCAACGCAATGTCCAAAATGTTGCCCACAAATATATTTTTGAACCGACTATCAACCATGTTCTGATTTGGGAACTGTGTTTATATTTGAAGAATTGAATGGATTTTGACAACATGCATAAGGACTAAAAGAGGCCAGTGAAGACGTACGACCCAACATGTGTTTTATGCGTGAGCTCCCAGCTGAACGTTCTCAAAGCACATGCAGTCCTGCACTCTGCTCAGATTCACTTAATGTATGATGTGAATGATAAAAATGAATCTTAGATGGGGGTTTCTGATTGAGTGACTACCAGGGAAATGTTATCCGAAAGGAGCATTTAGCTACGAGTGTGGTGATCTCATTAAAAATTACAGATGGAGATTCATGTGGAGCACGTGCAGGAACCTACAAACCACCGCATGAAGCTCTACAGGTTGGTGGTTGTGTGTGTGTGTGGTCTACAAACAGACCTGCGGAGATTCCAGATGATGATCCGGGAGCCTGTCTTAGTTGAGGTTGAAGTGATGGCATTGATCTCAGCGAGAAGTTCCTCATGAGACTTAAAAAGGGAGTATTGCAGGATGTCCTTCAGACTTGCTTCTTGTTTTTCTTTTACGGAGAGTGGAGCCACGGTTAAGGAAAACTGATGACAAACCATTCCTCAAAACATTTAGGGGAACAACTTTTAAAATGTTCACTGATCACATTCGTGCTCCTTGGTTAAAGGATATTTCTGTTTGATTTCTTATTTTCAAAGGAAATAATAGGAATAATTATTTGCTTGGCTCCAATCTTCTCCAGGTAGGTTTGAGAAAGCATCCCAATGCACGATATGCTCTTTGACTTGGAGAAGACAATCGCATCTTTGCCGAGACGCATGGATCCGGACTTGAAGCCGTTACCATAGATACCAATGGGCTCCAGTCCATTTACTGCCATCTTGTCGCTGTACCCAAAGCTGAAGTAAAGAAATACAGAAGCTCGCCATCATAATTTTCTATTATAATATACTCTCAAAGCAATGCATTAAAATGGTTTAACGTCTTAAATTAAAAAAAAAACAAAAAAAAAACTTAATTCTGCATTACAAAAGAGGTTCCTATATATCAAGACGTGTCTATTTTCATTTCAACTAGTTGTTGTACGTATATAAACAAAAGCTCACTATAAATGTAAAGTACATATTTCTACAAAGGCATTAAATGTTAAACCTAAAAGAAAAACTGAATGAAAGGAAGAAAAACATGGAGGACAGAAAGATCGTAGACATAGAACATAACTTTTCTTATAGCAAATAAAGAGGAAATCTAAATATTTTTATGCTTTTCCAGACCTGGAAAAATACCTCAATTGACAAACTTCTCCAGGCTGCAAAGGAACTATACAACAGCAACTTATAACTCTAATTTCTAGTCCTTTCTTCACTGAAAAACTATTCTTTTTTCTTGCAAGTTTGCTATTTTACCCCTAGCTTACTGTTCTGAGATTTATTTTAGATTAACTCAAGTCCAGGGAGGATTTTCTTTAGCCCCTCTCAAATCATCTTTTCTTTCTATGACAAAACATCCTTTAATAACTGAATTGTTATTAAAGGAATAATGGGGCGAAGAGGCTTGAAAATGGAACATTGCTAGAAGACAGAGTAAAGAACGATACCAAAACCCTGGAGATGCGTTGCACAAAATGATTACAGATTAAAAGCGATTGCCCTAGAAGCAACATATAAAAATAAATGGTGGGTTTTAATGTTTTCAAAAGCCTACAGAAACATCTGTGGAGTTTGTACCTAAGCATTTTGTGCATAGTTTCATGGTCGAGGCCGTTTCCGTTATCCATGAAGCTGAGGCACACCTCTCCTTTAACCATAGTTTTATCAATCCAGAACTGCTTGGCACTGACATCTGGGTCATAGGCATTGTCTGTCAACAAAACAGAAACATCAGAAAGCAAAAACTTTATTTAAAGTAGAATAAATCTGACAGGAGCAATGGATCTCGTTTGGGGAAGGATTTTAAACTACATTCTCACAAAGCAAAATAAATTACAACATAAATTATAAGAATGTGCACAGGATACCATGAAAGACTGCTACTTCCAGAGTCTGGTTTCATACTTCTGGGTCCTCAAAGCTGGAGCCAGAGTTAACAATAGTCACTCTTTAATAACAAAGTCTGTTTAATTGGGAGCTCTACCAGTTTGAACATGATTTGTGTTCAACTTGTGTTGTTGCCAGCCGCCACAACAATTCAAGAAAACTGAAAAACGAGTTACAAAATCTTATCTTATCTAGATCATCTACAATTTTGAATCTGGAACCCTATGGACTGCACTCTACTCCAAGGAAGGAGGATCGGAAACTAGCTTGACTGACAACTTTGAAACTCCAGCAACATGAACAAAAATGCAGAATCTGAACCAGGTGAGTGAAACTGTGAATTTTGTTTTCCCTCCCCGTTTCATATTTTAATCATGCAAGTCTTCAATTTTTCTAACTTATAGGCTATGATGAGTTAGCATCAGCACAAGTTGGTTACAGTAAACAGTGTTATGCAGTGTTGAATGCATTTTAACACCTTCTTGGAGAAGAAAATCTAATCAAAAGATTTTAAACAAATTTTAGGGGGCTTGTGAACATTTCAAATTGCCGGATGAAAAGGTGTTTCAATCAGATGCTCTAAGGGACGTGCAGACAGGACGAAACTGTTAGTCAGAAGGGGGTTATTTAATAAACTTAATTATGGGCTGTTGCTGCAATATGGGCCTCTGTTTTGATAAACAAGAGGAAATTCAAGACGTATGCATTGGATAAAATGTTTGCAGGTGGTTACGTAAATAACAAAAGATCCATTAAAAAAAAAAATCACTGTGCAAACAGAAAACACTCTGGTGATAATCAGATGATCTGAATGACTCACCTATGAGTTCAGCGATAGCGCTGAAGGGCCAGGTGTGGCTGGTGGAGTTGGTGTGCAGGAACTTTGGCGAAAGCTGAAAGTGAAACAAACATCTGAGCAAAAGTTTCATTCATCATCAAGATCATGACAATTTATTGAGCTGGGTTTTATTATGTTACATAAAAGTTTGTTTTTTTTAAAATCATTTTTAAACCGGGTCATTTAACATCACTATGCATACAGTGGACCTAAATACTAGAGAAATTGTCACTATCTTCAATCGCAGGTTGAAACTGAATGTTGGAAAAACAGATTTGAGATTGAAAACATAAAATCTGAAACGGACAAAAAAAATTAAAACTATTAAAAAGTCTAAGAAAAAAAAATGGAAGTGAATTTAAGTTTTTTTTCCAAACTGACATAAATTCTTCCAATTCTTATTTTGAACCTATTTCTTTCCAATTACAACTTCAGAATGGACATTCAATTTCAACTAGGTTTTTTATTATTATTATTTGTATCATACTTGCAGGCTTAGTACATTATACCTGCAAAGAATAACTTGGAGATTTAGTCCAATATTATGATTTGGCAAAGCAAACATATAAAAGTGAAAATGAAAATCAGTATTCTGTGGCTCTCTAATGGCATTACAACACATCAAAAATGATTCTATAGCTCCATGAATAAAGATACATTCAAAATAAACAGTCATACTTTGGGTTTGAACAAGTAAAACTGCAAATATCAGATGTAGCAACAAAGATGGCTGGATATGTATGGATTAAAGGAAAGATAGATGGATTTAAAGACCGATGGATGGTTCAGATATTAATGAAGAGAAAAATCCATAGAAGGATGAACTCAGTGATGGACAGACGGACGGAAATTTTAAACACTAACAGGGAATCTTTTCACATATCCAGACCTAGAAAATACCTAAAGCGATGTGAAGAAATCACGTTGCGTGGATATATGCAAAACAAGCTGCAACATTTCCATAGGATCAAGTTAAAACTGAATTGACTCCAAAACAACTCCTCCACAGGTCCACAGAGTAATATACTAGTTTCTTAAAGAATAATTTAAATTTAGCAGCGTAGTGGTGACCCCGTGTTCCCTTAGGCCACAATTAGCGGTTATCATTGTGCAGTTTTAGGGAAATAACATATCAGGAAACCGAAACTCAGCGCTCTCCCTATCATAACACGGCCACATAAAATTTTCTTAACAGCCTAAAATACTTCCGATTCAGACAAAACATTTATCTGCCGGGTTATTCCTTTTTAAACAGAGATTCCACATTAGTGACCAACTAGCCACAAACATCACCAGGCAGGACACTACTCTGAACACAGCAAGCTTAATTGCTAATATATTGGCATAAATCATATTCCTGCGCACACGAAAGGAGTGTAATGTCATTATGTGCAAAGTCTTTGAAACCCAACGTGAAAAATGCGATGCAAAGTTCGATAAACAAGGAGATAGTCTGCTCACCGTACTGAGAGGCACGCCGCGGTCTGTTTGTGCCGCCATTTTTACAGGAACAGGCGACTATGGGCGGAGCTTAGCCTCGCTACTTCATGACATCAGCAGTTCCGGTAAAAAAAAAAAAAGCTAAGCAAATATATTACAACTGTTGAATGGGTGAATGAATATATCGTCTGTGTTGTTAACTTGTTAGAGTATAATTCATATAGTTAAATGCACTGTGAAATATTCCTCAGAATGGAAGCCTGTTCAGTCACTTCCGGTTTGGTATTTCAAAGAATAAAAGTGAATCGATTTTTAAAACTAACAGAGATAATAGATGATTAAATTTTTTTCTTCATAAAAGTGTCACTTATATAGTTAATGTATCCTCCCATCTAAGCGCCAATAACACTTTCCTGTCATTAATGGACTGATGAAGACCTATGAGGGAATCATCCACCATCCACACCACATGGTGAGGTCTACATTAAATCCACTGCAGTTTGCCCTACCAGCAGATGTTGCCGTCGCCTACCTCCTGCACTGAGCTCTGACCCACCTGGAGAAGCCTGGAAGCACTGCGAGGATCATGTTCTTTGATTTCATGTCATTCAGTCAATACTTATGAGGGACAAGCTGGAGACTCACTGGTCATGTCCTTGTCTTTCATAGAAATGAGTCACAATGCAGAGAAATTGTTAAAACTGATGATTTTTCAGTGCATAATAACTGAAGGTCAATGGAAATAAAAACAATTCACATCAGATTTAAAGATAATTTAATAATTACATTTGAGACTGATTTCTCTTTTAAAATATATTTTAGTGAAGTGCAATAGCTTGAGCCAATATAAGTTTTGAAATTGGTCTTAAACCCGCAAAATGTCTTAAAAGCACAATATAAAAACAAAATATTCATTTATAAACTGGTGGGAATGCAATAAAAAAAAAATCAGAAGTTAAATGCTGTGTTTAATTTAATGACTTGTTTTTTTTCCCCCTATTGCATCAAAATTTGATGCGGTCCTTTGAAAGATAAATAACTTACAGGAACATTCAGATGTGCAGGAAAATACAGACAACAGTAGCTGTAAAACCTATGCTGGAGTAAAAACTAGGAAAGGATCATTTCCCTTGGTCACCAACAACTCAAAGCATGTAATATGTTGACGCACAGCCGTTGTTTTAAGAGTTTTCCCAATGCACGCAAAGCACATTCCTTACATTACTAATAAAAAATGTTAGCATAAATTAAGAGAAATCTAAGAGTTTATACATTCTTAAGACAGATTGTTACACCTGAAGAAACAAACTGCAGTTCAGGAAAATAAAACTCTAGTGGTGCCTAATGCAGTTCTTCACAGTAAGTTTTCTATGTGCTTCACTAAAATCTATTGACTCTACTACCACGGCCATAAGGTGCATGCCTTGCTTGGACAATAAGTAACCTGAATCGAGAATACCTGTCTGCTTTTATTAACGGTGAAAGCAGTAAGTTAGTGACTTTTAGCTGCATTAATACCTCATCTTTGGACGGAAAATAAACTGCATTCCTTCATTTTTTTTTCACATTAAAAGTCATGTGGAAATGAGTACCATGGATTCCCTTTGTTTTTTTTTGTTTCTAGTTAAAGCAGTTCAGAAGTACATGTACAGATGTAATCAAAACGATTACTACATAAAAGAAAAACACATTTTCAAAACCATTCCTTCACTAGAACTCCACAATACAACAAAAATCACTGGTTGTGCCCATTATAGGTCTTTTTTGTTTATGTGCCTGCAGCTAAGAAAGCTCAGTCTTTAACTCTCCATGGAGTCCAGGAACTCGTTCTCAATGATGCCCTCCAGTCTGCTCAGAACAATGTGCGAACTGGCTGCAGGGTATTCGGCAACGGCGAAGTGGGCAGCAGGCTGGCCGGAGGGGGGAGGGGCCTGGAAGGAGCAGCAAAGGGTGCGAAGGAAAGGCAGCAGCTGGGTGATGGAGGACAGGGAGCTCTGAGTGAGGAGGGGGAACTCCAAGTTATCCGTGGAGGACTCCTCAGTCAGTCCGTTCAGTGCCTGAAAAAACACAGGACACAGAGATTTGTGTCGTTTCAAAGCTCGACTTTATGTTTTTATCCTCAACAACACAAGCGATAAATACAACTTTAGCGGCAAACAGAGCTTTGAAGTACGAGTCAGCTCTGAAATACAGCGCCTCGCAAAAAAAATACCCCACACACATTCATCGTGTTATTACCACAACAGACTAGCATATATGGAAAAAGAAAATACAACCTGGATTTTAATTATGTAAAACAAACAAAACAGAAAATCATCCTGAAAAAATGCGTCATGCACATTCCGTCTCTCTGAGTCACTACTTTGTAGAGTCACGTTTCCATGCAATTACAGATGAAAGTGTCGTTTATAAACTCAAGCTCAGTCCCATTGGATTAAGTGAAGCTGCCAACAGCAAGTCTTGCCACAGATTCTCATTTGGATTTAGATCTGGACTTTGATTAGTCCACTATACTGTATGCAGAAGCTCTGGCTGTATGTTCAGGGTTGTTGTGTTGCTGGAAGGTAAACTTCCACCCAAATCTTAACCTTCAACAGGTTTTCTTCTATTCTTTTTTATCAACATGTTGTGGAACATGTTGGTTTCAACATCATCCCCACAGAATGATGTTTAAGTCAGCAGCATTCTGTGGGGATGTTTTTTTTTTTTTAATGGAAGCTGCTTGGAATTGATGGTGGGATAAATGGAGTCAAGTTGCAGAACAAACATGTTTGGTCTACAACATGTTTGCATGTATTCCAAACATTCAAACATGTTTGGAATACATGCAAACAGTATGTTTGCATGTATTCCAAAGAGTTCAAATTGGTCTCATGTGGTCAACATGTTTGCTGTGTCCCATGTAAAGCTAACGTCAAACTTTTGATGAAACCTCTCATGGTTTCAACAGAAAGGTTTTATATTTGCCATTCTCCCATAAGGAACAGATTTGTGAAATTCTCTAGTAGTTATTTCATCGTGATGATGATGGATTTCCACAGATGAGCTGTGGATCTTTGCAGTACTCTTTATGTTGTTCTTTAAAATAAAACTAATTGAAGTTTGTGATTGCAACTAAGGAAAATGTGAAAAAGTGATGTACTCCAGACACCTCCTGGAGTAAATAACTCTTATGATTTGTGACCAAATCTGCCAAATACCACATCAATATGTTTGGTGATTTATACAATTGCAGTGGAAGAACCAGACCTAAAAAAAAAAAAAAAATCTTATGATGAGACAGCATTTGACTATGGACGACTCTCCAGAGTCAGATGCTTAATTTATTGTAGTCGCCACTTTATTGACACGAATGTTTTGGGAATAAGATCCAATCAGGTGCTGATGAAAGAGCAGCACTGTAACTCACCCCATAGCGTTGCTGTATCCCTTCCAGCACTCTGACGACATGTTGCGTGCATTCCTGTTCTCCCTCAATCAGCGTATTTTCTGGACCACTGTAGCGGCTCACGTCCACCTCCGGGACAAATGCCCAACGATACCTGGAGGATAACCAATTAGATGCTTTCGAAACCAATATCTTTGCTAAATGTATCACTGATGTTACAAAGAAGGCATGTTTTCCAGCTCCCTACATCTGAAAGAGGGGCATCTTCTCTGGAGGAAAGGCCAAGGAAGTGTCCAGAAACTTGCAGGCTGACAGGTACATGTCCAACTCTGCATTGGAGAAGTTTACTGGTCCATTTTTGTCAAGTGCCCCGCGCACCACTTTGGTCAACCTAAGTTGGAAACAAAGACACAGGACTTATAAAATGCAAGTTTTAGTGCATTTGTGAAACAGATAATGATAAAAAAAAAAAAAAACTCACTTTGAGACATCTTTCTCTGGCTGCAGAGATTTCTCTAAACGTGCAAATATCCGTATCTAAAAAACACGAGTTAAAGACAACAGCTTCATCCAACCACGACTCTTTAGATCATACATGGCCCTCTCAGGAAGGAAACTTACAAGTTCTGTGACCATTATAGGCCAGAGCGACGTCAGGTGCTGGGAGGAGATCCGCAGCAGGAGAACTCGGAACATCAGGAACATCTGGGCCGAGACCGCGGGGCTCGAGTTCATTTTTAAAGTCTCGGTGAGGCGCTCTGAAAGGAACCGGCTGGTTTTTTAACTTGGCTTTATTTGAGCCTAGTTTGAACATGCGTACATAAGCCTACACCGATGTGTAAAACAAAAGAAGCCCACCTTGAATAAGTGGAAGGTAGAGGTGGTACTGGTCGAGTTCGCCGCTGAACATCGCAAAAGCCTGCCGCTTCAGCAGCATGGGTTTCTGGTCGGCACTGGGGAACAACTTCAGGGAGCTGCTCTGCATGCCTGTTGTGCAAATAAATACAAAGACGAGATAAATACAAAGAGTTTCAATTTGTTTCTTGCATTAAGTAAGAAGTTATAAATCCACAATACAGATCCGATAATCTTTCGTCATCAGTTCTTTTTAACATTTATGTTAGCGGTTTGGATAGCTGCCCACCATATTTCTGAGGACAAAAATATTTTCTCAATTTCAGAAAGAGTCTCAATGGTACTCACCCATCAGGTCCTTAAACATGGTCTTCTCATGAGTCAGTAGATGGTCAATGATTGATTTCCAACTATGACATAATAATAATAAAAAAGCAGAATTAGAACTGCAGACATAACAGATAATTGGAATTAAATGTGATGCAAATTAGGAGAGCAAATAGTTTTGTCTCGATGGTTCCTGCTAGGTTTCACCATGTAAAATGTTGCAATGTGGCACGCTCTCATAGAAAGGTCTTTAAAATAGCAATAAACTGTTCCTGTGATTACTTTGCATTTGTTTAGTGCAGTGATCTGCATCATTTTTAACCCAGAGTCATTACTGCCCTCAGTCCAGCAAAGTAAAATTCATTTAAAGCCACAAGCAGTATATTCCCATTTGAAAAAAAACAAAAACAAACTATTTTCAGTTTTTCATATACACTGCAGAATTTTTTTTGGTCATTTTTAGAGAACCTTCTATTTCTATGTTTAGGGTTTAAAATTTAGAAAAACTATGAAACTTTTGCATAAAGAGGACGGACACATTTTCTTCTATCG